GTCCTGGGAGAGGATGGATGTTGCACAGTATTTGTTTCCTGAGAGAAATATGTGGGTGGCTTACTGCTCAGCACCCTTCCTACTAATGAGCTTAGAGCCTTTGGCTTAATAAACACTGTGTGTCACAGGCTTGACATGTGATGTTTCCCAAGGAGAAGTGCTAGGGATGCTTGTTATTTTTACTTTTGTCCCCCTATCATCCTTGATCTGAGACAGGCAGAAGGACATGGCAGATTCAGCAGTCAGACTGGATGCACCCCTGGCTCAGGATCTTGTCTGGGGTCTCTAGACCCACACCCAGAGCCTGAGGATGCTCAGAATTGAATTTCAACATTTAGACTGCCTGCCTGTTCAGGCCTGAGCACTAATTTTTAGGCCCCGAATCTGCCTCCTGATTGTCCAGTGGTACCCTCAGACTCTCCAGCCTGCTTTGAAATAGAACGCCCATCAAGAAAGTAGTACTGGGCCGGGGATTTAGCTCAGTGGTTCCGGTGCCTGCCTCAAAAGTGCAAGGTCCAGAGTTCAATCCCTGGTACCAAAAAAAAAAAAAAAGAAGAAGGAAGTAGCCCTTAAGCTTTCCTGCTTCTGGTCTGAGCTGAGGGTGGATGGACACTAGTGTTTACTCAGGCCTCTAAATCCCCTACAGTGACTTTCAGGGAGCTCTGCAGTCAGGTGACTTGGATTGGAATACTAGTATTTCCTAAGAACTAGATAGGTTACAAGGTTATTCAGCTGTAGGAAGATATTAGTAGTAGAATCTCAAGATTGCTGTGCAAATTAAATGAGAGTATACATAAAGTGCTTAGCCAGTTATTAAAGTGCCTGGCCCATAATATATGGTCAAGAATTCATTGGGCCCGGGATTTAGCTCAGTGGTTCCAGCGCCTGCCTCGAAACCACAAGGTCCTGAGTTAGATCCCCAGTACCAACAATAACAACAAAAAAATGAATTAAGAATTCATTCTTTTAATAATTGTTAATGCCTACTGTTTACCAGACACTACACTAGGTTCTGGGGACATAGGGAAAACAAAAACAAAAGTAAACTAGAAAATTAGTAGATAAAATGAACCATTTAAACTATGTCCGTGGTATAATGCCTTATATAAGAGAAATGCACATAAATTTTCATTATTATTAATAAAATAATGAGATACTGTGATGACGAGCACTGTTATAATAATTAGAAGAGACCTCTTTAAAAAAGGGAAGGCAGGACAGCCTCTAAGGAAATAAAATTGGAGCTGAGATCTATAAGATGAGAAAATGAGCCTTGCCAAGAGCCAGGTAAACCCTTTCAGATAGATAGCATGTACAAAGGCCGTGAGGCAGAGTAGAGCTTGGAAAGTGGAAGGAATAGCCAGGAGGCCATTGTATCTGGGACTTGATGACAGAGGAAGAGAATAGTCCAAGATGAGGCACAAGGGAGGCAGAAGTCAGCAACTATGGAAAGAGGTTTGGATTTTGTTCCAAGTATGAGAAAAGCTCCTGAGTGCTTAAACAAAGACGGTAACAAAATCTGATTTCTGACTGAAAGTTAATTCTAGCTTCTATAGGGAGAATGGAGTAGGAAGGGAGAGAAGTAGAAACCATCAAAACAACAACTTAGAGTCTATTAGAGGCATCCAGATGAGCAATGTTGCTTGTTTGGCTATAGATCAGTACCATCCAAGAGTACTTTCTGGGACAGAGGAATGTTCTACATCTCTGAGAGCTGAGCATTTGGAATATGGATAATGCAGCTTAAAAACAATTTTTAATTTCATGGCACTTTAATTAATTAAAATTAGGGGCTGGGGATTTAGCTCAGTGGTTTCACCGCCTGCTGTGCAAGAGCAAGGACCTGAGTTCGATCCCTGGTACCAAAAAAAAAAAATTAATTAAAATTAAATAGCCCCTTGTAGCTAGTAGCTGCTATAAGGACAGCATAGGGAATTGAGTTGTTTTTGAAATATATTTAAGAAGCAGATCAAACTGGAGATGGTTGAGGTATGGGGAATGAGAGAAAGAGGAATCAGGAAAGCTTCCTACTTTTTAAATCTGGGAACTGGTGGATGATACTGTCATTTACTGCAGGAGCAGGCTCTGGAGAGATATCCCATTTTGATTTGCTCAAGAGAGGTTTAAAATAGTATGGAACATTCAAAGAGAGACGTCAAGTAGAAGCAGGATGAATGCTTATTTGTCATCATTGTCATCTTTGGGTTACAGGAACAGCATTCTGTTTGGCTGTTTAGGAGACAGGAGCTCAGAAAGGGACCAGTAGGGTCGGGGATTTAGCTCAGTGGTTTCGTCGCCTGCTGCACAAGTGCAAGGACCCGAGTTCGATCCCCAGTACCAAAAAAATAAAAATAAAAAAAGAAAGGGACCAGTAGCCCTCCTGCCCCTTGTCTTTGTCAGTGTGCCAGTCACCCACCTATTTACTTATCCCTAGTGTCTGAACCCTTTGTGTAATGCACATTTCCTCCTTCCCCACGCCCTCCATAGCTCAGTATTAAGGCCACTGGCTTCTTCCTTTTTGGTGCTAGGAACCCTCAACTCACCTGTTTTCTAGTCCTAGAGCCACTCCCCTGCCTCAGGCCCTTGTCAACTAACTGTGGACTCAAGCTCATAGGCTTCTCACCTCCTCCTATGAGAGGTCTTTCTGACTCCTCTTGGAAATCCTGTACAGGTCTGGGTCAGGAGTCTTAAACCTAGGCCAATCCTTGATCTTCCCATACATTTCCAGAATGTAGCCAAATCAGAAATATGTCCAAATCAGAAGCCTTCCAAAGCTTGGAAGTTCACAAGAATGTTAATCATAGCATTAATAACAAAAGCTAGAAGTACAATTTTCAACCTGAGCTGACTTGACCTATCATCCACATTTGACACTGTTGATAGGTCTCCCTTGACACTTTCTTCATTCCTGTCCAAGACATCACTCTTTTTTCAGTTGTTCTCCTAACACTGAGGTCACCCTTCAGTTTCCTTTTCTGGTTCCTTCTCATCGGCTTGATCTCATAAATATTATCTAGGGCTCAGGCCTCAGGCCTCTATTCTCGTACTCTGTTCTCCACTGGTTCTCCCATGCAGCCTTATGGCTTTAAAGACATCTATTTGCTGATGACTCCCAAATGTGTCTCTCCAATTCATACTCTTCCTGAATGCCAGACTCATAAATACTCTGTGTATTTGACATTTCCACTTTAACATCAAACAGGCCTCTAAACTTATGTCCAACACTGAGCTCTATCAGCAAGTCCTGTAGGCTTGACTTTATAATATATCCTGAGATCAATTATTTTTTCCCCTTAATGGTCATTATCCTGGTACAGTAGTCCTCCCTTATCCTAGAGGGATGTGCCCAAGACTCCCAGTGAATGTCTGAAACCATAAATAGTAGTGAACCCTACAATGTAATGCCTTTTCCATTTTAACTAAGTACTTATGCAGTGTGGCTGTAACTTTTGCAATTTGTAGTTAATGCAGTTTTTCCTTCTTCACATTTTCAAGAATAAAAATTCAGAGCTGGGGTTATAACTCAGTGGTAGAGCACTTGCCTAGCATGTATAAGGCCCAGCACTGAAAAAGAAAAATTATAGAAGAGGTCTATCTTTACTACAGATCTTAGCAACCTCAGTATACAATTTCTTCTTCTTAGTAAGTCAAGAACTTCATCTTTTTCATTTAAAGGAAATACTTTATATCTTGACTTTAGAATATGTGATTTGCCAAAATCACCAGTCTTGTGTTTTGGAGCCATCATTAAGTAAAATAAGGGTAACTTGAACACAAGTACTATGGTACAATGATAGTAGATCTGATAACTTAGAGGGTTACTAAGTGACCAATGAGAAGGTAGTATACACCATGTGAATACACTAGACAAAGGCATGAATCCCATCCTGGCAGGATGGAGTGAGACAGCAAGAGATTATATAATGCTACTCAGAACAGGGTGCAATTTAAAATTTATGTATTGTTTCCTTATAGAATTATCCATTTAATATTTCCAGACAGTGGTTAACCCATTCATGTGTAACTGAAACTGTGGAAAGAAAAACTGTTCTAAGGGGGAACTACTAAACAAGCCCCTATATATTTCACACAGGTGACCCCAATGGTCTGCTATCAGGTCTCCCTGCTTCTGCGCATGTCCTCACTTCATCTCTCCCCAACATTACAGTTCAAGTCCCTCCAAAGGCTTCCATTTCTTTGTCCTCACACACCCTGGCCCAGTCTGACCTCTCCTCCCTGGGGCAGCTGTGTAGCCTATTTACTGACCTTTTCCCTCTGTTAGGAAGGTTCTACTACCAAACATTCCAAAGCAAGCTCATTCCTTGTCCTCCTTCAGGTCTCTGCTCTAAAGTCACCTGGGCATTATCTAAAACATTCTACAAGCCAGGAGCCAGGGTGCATGCCTGTAATCCCAACACTCAGGAGGTTGAGGCAGGAAGATTGCCACGAGTTTGAGGACAGCCTGGGTTACATAGTGAGTTCAAGGCCAGCCTGAACCACATAGAGACCCTGTCTCAAAAAACAAAACATTCCACACCCACGTTTGATATTCCTCTTCCCTATTTATTTTTTCTATCTGCCCTTTTACATATTTTAAGGATCTTCTTTAGAGGGATGCAAGGGAAAGGGGAAGTAAAAAGAATATGTGTTACATACGTGCATCAAGTCCCCATGATGACTTTAATCATTATGTACTGTAAACATACACATTTTTAAAAAAATGGATCTTATTTATTACCTGTTTTCCTTAACAGAATGCAAATTTTAGGAAGGCAATTTTTTTTTCCTTCCGTACTGCATTCCTGAGTATTTATGGAGTACACAGTAGGTGCTCAATAAACAGGTGGTGAATGAATGAAAGACGGGAGTCGCCTTACAACAGTGAGGGAAGTGAGGAAATCAAAACACAGGCATACTTAAGGTCTTGTGATGCTGGTCACAACTCTTGTTCAGAACTGCAAGCCAAGAGGGCGTCCTCACCCCACCTAACTGCCTCTCTTCTATAGTTCTCCAGCCGGAACGTTGTAACACCGGAACCGTAGCTCTCTGGCCCAGGCGCTAGAGCACTTCCGGTGCCGCTCCTTTCTCGCCAGTAAAGAGAACTGCCAAGTCAGTTCCGGCAGAGTGCAGTGAGAAACAGAGCGCGGCCTGCTTCCCAAGGGTCCTCCAGGTCCTGCCGCCGATGGCGGTGGGTGACCTGGGGGGCCCGAGGATGGGCCGTGCCTCTGCCCTGCAGCGTCTTCGATCCCTCGCTGTGACTGCCCACTGGCTGGGCCCAGGCTTTGAAGAACAGGCGAACCGCTCCCCCACTCCACTTCGATGACCTGATGGCGGCGGTGGCCTCGGAGCCAGAACCCCTCAGACCGAAGGGTCTCCCGGTCCAGCCTTGCTGGCCTTAGCAAAGCCCCCTCCAGCAGTCGAGGACGTGGCGCCTTACAGCGGCTGCAGCGAGGCGTGATGAGAAGAATGGCGGCCTCCGGACAGCAGCAGAATGTCGTTTCATCAAGGGCCGGAGAAGGCGGGTCGGAAAGCTCAGCCACTTTTGGCCCTAGAACTGCGCAGATCCGGGTCCTGAGGTGACTGCTGTGTTCCAGTTGTGGAGGAGACCGCACCTCCTTGCGACGAGGACGAATAAAGGCCTTACCCGCCCTGGAAGGTGAGGGAGCTCAGGCCAAGGACAGGTGTAAAGGCTGGCGGGCCATGGGCAGTTGCCAAAGAGAGAAACTTAAAGTAACATTCCACCTTTGGCTAATTGGAAATGCCCACTACCTTTTGGGAAGATTTACTGGCCATTTTCAGAAGGCCTGTGTATATAATATGAAAAAGCTGCTCTCAACATTCCCCCAACCTTTTAAAAGAAAACTTGCTGCATGTGATAAAGTAGTTAGAAAAACCACACGTCTTGGAAACGCCCATTTATTTTAAAAAATGACAGAAAAGAAACGTTTTCTGAAAGTGACTTTGAAATGAAGTTGGGTAGACCACCTGGAGAAGCGACACTGGGAGTGATTCTTGTCTGCATTTGTTCTGTGAGTTAGAGGACTCGGAGAAGACGGAAGAGAAGAATGTCCAGTACCAGACTGGTTACATGTAGAAGATGTTGTTTGTATTGTAACCATTGTTTTGTGTGTGCATTTTAGTCCTCATTAGTATATATATAATTGACAATGCTAAGTACTTTATTGAACCATCTGGTCTTTTGAGATAATTCTCAAGTGCCTGATACATGTTAAAAAGTAGTAGTAGTAAAATAACACATTTTGTAAATTTCTTTTTGTTTGAACTCACATGAAGTGCTATTTTGTGGGGGAAGTAGGCAAACCCCCTCTTGAGTAGTACACATTGTTTTTGCACTGGTTCTCGGAAGAGAAGGAAATGCAGAGCACTGTGCTAGTGCACTTATAGCAAGGCAAGTTACTATTGCCCCTTATGTCTGTGCATTTTTACTTTGCTGTGTATGTAGGGTATGTAAAAGATAAATGAGACCTTATACAGCATCTAGTCTTGCTAGATGTTAAAGAGGTTGCCAGTTTTGATAAAGGTAGAGTTAGTAAACTAACAAATTTTCTACATTTTGTATTAAAATTCCAGGAAAGATTGTCTTCTGAAAATTTGAGCGTTTTAACCCACTGGGCTAGTGGAGAAAGGAAGGGTTCTAGACTAAAATGCTCATATTTTCAAGACACTTTCAACTATTGTTACATGTATGCAGTTTAATCAAGACTGCTGTGTATATATAATGGACAAATTGAGTCCTTACTTGAAACATCTAGTCTTACCTGGATGTTTAGAAGTGCCCAACGTATGTTAAATGTAGAGGTAGTAAAATATCACTTTGTAAATATCTTGCTAAAGTTCATATGAAATGTTGATGGGAATGGAATGGTTAAAACACCTCTTGAGCACTATGGTACTGTCTGTACTTGTTCAGTGGTTTGGAGGAGGTAGGAGGGAAGCAATTGCAAAGGTATTATGTTAGTGCACTTGTATTTGGACATTTTGAGACATAATTTTTCTGTATGTTTTGTGGGTTTTGTTTTGCTGTGTATATAGTGTATATAACAGACAAGTCCAAATTTTGCAACATGTAGTCCCTAAATGTTACAGAAGTTGCCAGTGTATGACAAAGTAGTAAAGTTACCACATTTTGTACACCTCTGTTGAAATACACAGAAAAGCTTGTCCTCTGTAAATGAATTTTGGATTCAACCATCTCTAACATTACATATTCCTGTACTTGTCCACTGGGTTGAAAGCAGAGAGAAAGAAGTGAAGCCAAAATTGTCATATGTAGAAGATACCTCAGATTACAACCGTTACTAAATGTGCAATTTTATCAGTGCCGTACGCTAGCAATTTCTTATATGAAAAATCTAGTCCTAGATATGTAGAAGAGCTTGATATATTTAAAAGTAGTGGTAGAAGAGTAACACTTTGTAAATAGCTTTTATGAACAGATAGGAAATACTATGTTTGCAAATAGAATAGTTAAACCACCTCTGAACAGTATACTGTCTGTACTTGGTCACTGGGTTGAAGGAGGAGGGATGGAAGAAATTGTGAAAGGTGTTTTGTTAAGTGTATGGTAGAAAATTTCAGCTGACACTGCTCTTATGTTACCTGCATTTCACTTAACTTTGCTATACTGTATATATAGTGTATATACTGGACATGAGTCCTAATTTTATAATATCTAGTCTCTAGATATTAAAGAGGTTGCCAATGTATGACAAAAGTAGAGTTAGTAAACTAACACATTTTGTATACTTTGTGTTAAAATTCATAGAAAGGCTGTCTTCTGAAAAGGATTTCTGGAAGTGTAATTGTAAAATCACTTTTGAATGACACGTGCCTCTATCACATGTGACAAGGAAAGAAATAGGAAAAATTAAAGATTCTAGGCTGGAATGCTCCTACTTAGAAGACACTTTCAGATATAACCATTGTTACATGTGTGTAGTTTATTCAACACTACTGTGTATATAGTGGACGAACTTGAGTCCATATTTGAAACATCTAGTCTTTCTAGATGTTTAGAAGTGCACAAAGTATGTTACAAGTAGAGGTAGTAAACACATTTTGTAGATAATCCTTTTGTTAAAATTAATACCGTCTTTAGGAAATGGAATGATCAAATCATTCATCTGAGCAGTAGACATATTTGTGCTAGTTCAGAGAGGGAGGAAGAAAGTACAAAGGGCTCTAAATCAATGTGGTTTAGGTGAAGTGAGATTGACCACTGTCCCTTATGTCTGTGCATTTTGTTTTACTTTCCTATGTATATAGTTGTATATAAAGGACAAATGAATCCTAATTTACATCTAGTCTTTCTAGATGTTAAAGAGGTTGCCAGTGTATGACAGTAGAATTAGTAAACTAACATGTTGTATACACTTTTGTGTTAAAATTCATTAGAATGTTCTTAAAACCACTTAGTAAGTGAAATTGTTAAAGCCTCTTGTAAGTATTACATATCCATATATCTGTCCCCGGTGTTAAAAAGGATGGAAAGGGGAAAGGGCTCTAGACAAGAGTGTTCCTATTTGGATGATACTTTAAAATTTAGCCTTTGTTAAGTATATGTGTGCAATTTACTCAATCCCATTATATATGTGAGACATTTTAAGTTCTTACTGGAAACATCTAGTCTTTCTAGATGTTTAAAGTTCATGGGCCAGGGATGTAGCTCAGTGATGCCACCACCTGCCTCGCAAGCGCAAGGTCCCGAGTTCGATCTCTGGCACCAAAAATAAATAAAATAAAGTTCACACATGTAGAAGTCAAGGGCTAATATAATGCGCTTTAAATATTTTTTATTACTTCACAGGAATGGTTGTATTTTGAATGAAACTGTCAAACTTGATGTCTTGGAGAGTATGCTGGGGAGCAGGAGGGGAAGTATGCAGAGAGGGAGGTTTATGTGAGTTCAGATTGTCTTGCTGTTGTTCTATATGTACATGTTAATACTGCTGGGTGTTAAAGGATAAGTTTTACTGCCCAAATTATGTTAGAAATAGCAAAGTAGTTTTTAGGAAGAACTGTCTTCTGGAAGTGACCTTTGTTACAGCCACCTCTTGGAGCTAGATGTCCTAAACTTAAGTTGCTGAAGTGAAGAGGGAAAAGGGTGGGTGAGGGTGGTAAGAGGTCTTTGCTAGATCTCCATATCTGGAAGATGATTTTAAATTAAAACCATAGGGCTGTGGGTGCATATTTGGTAAAGTACTTGGGCGTATTGTGCACAAAGTTCGTACTCTTGCACAGCATCTAAGCTTTATAGATGTCGGGGGGTGACAATGTACCATAAAAACTAGAGGTAGTGAATTAGACAACATTTAAAGTGTCTTTGTTATAATTGATAGAAAAGATGCATCTTGGACTTGGAATTGTTATAACACTTCTAGGCAGTATGTATCCGGACTTGTTGTTAGGCTGGCAGCAGAGGGGCAGAAATAAGCACACAGATGTGAGCAAAGTGTTCAGATTTAAATTTTGGTGAAAGGAATCAAAATGTGTAGAAATACATTAATAATTCAGTGGGAATATGCCTTCTTGCTAATATCTTGATAGAGATCTGATAACTCTCAGATACATAGCTTGGTGTACTCTGTTGCTTTAGGTCTCACTTTAAATTGAGCATTAAGGAAATACAGTATTGTAATTTAACTTTGCCAATACTTCTATATAGAGGCCTATTGCCGTTTTTATCTTCAGTGAAATTTTTGTTCCCAAGAAAGGCAGGATTATTTATTCTAACAGATTGAGTTGGTGTAGTGTGTTCTTAGTTATCAAAAATACCCTTGTAGCTTTGGGATTTTGAATTGATGAATATTCATGATGTGTAGAAAAGCATGGCACACACTGTACAAACTCAGTCACACAAAATGGCATGTTGTATATGTACGCACAGGACCTAGAAGAACACATCCAGCTAAGCTGCTTATGATTGCGAATGACTTTGTTCTTTGCTTCTTGAGTTTTTGTTTCCTGTAATGCACGTTAACTTTAAAAAAATAAAAATTATTTTAAAAACTCATAAGGAGTCCCCATTGCTTGTGGGATAAAGTTAGCATAGTCTGTAGGAGCACATCATTCATGTTCCTGGAAGTCTTATATCTTCAAGACACTCCCTTGCCTAGGCACCCCTCCCCCACACATGTTCTGCTGTTCTTCAAGATGGCCTTGCACTTGGGTGGTTCCATGGTTTGCTCACGCTGGTCTACCACTACTTCCCTTTTGACAATGGTTCACTTTGCAAAATTATTCTTCAGAACTCTACTTAAATTCTAGTTTCTATATAGTCTTGCCAGTAAGAATGTGACAGCCCAGAATTAAAGTGTTCCCCTTTTTTTTCCAGTTCCTACTTGTTCCTCATATTTGGAAACCACTTGTTAGCTGAAAGCCTTCTGGATTGAGCTTGGGTTTATATCACGTCTACAACCACAGGATGCAGCATAGTACTACCTGACATGGAGCAGATACTTAGAAGATGTCAGTTGAATAAAACAGAAGTTCAGCTTTTCATGGTCCTTCTTATATGACATTACCATCACAGGCACCAAATAGTCTGGGGTTCCACAGTTGGAAGTTTCTATTGTGGTTGACTAAACCAGATGGTAGAGGTCAGATGCGGTACCAATCATCCCCAATTA